AAAATTACATCTGTTAAGGTATTGGTGTAACTTCCTGACTCTAAATATGACCGCCAAGCCTTCCTTCTCTATCTGGGTGTACTTATGTTCTGCATTAGCCAAAGTCCTGGATGCATACGCCTTTGGGCATTCCTCTCCATTGGGTCACCTGAGCTATACCACCCCAATGCCGTACAGGGAGGTGTTGCATATCAATACCAGATCTCGAATGGAATCATACTCTGCCAACACCTTAGATGATGACAGCTGTTCCTTCATTTTCCTGAAAGCTATGGCTACGTGGCCATTTGCAAGGCTGACCCTTTTTTAAGAGTTGATGCAAAGGTGCCAGAACGGAGGCGAGGTGTACAGTAAGACAGCATGGAAACAGGCCCTTCAGCACAAACTGGTCCATGCTGACCATGGTGCTCACTCAGCTAGTTCTAATTGCCTGCATTGGTCCATATCCCTCTAAACCCTTCCCATCCATGTACCTATCCAAATGTTTTAAATGTTGCTATTGCACCTGCCTCAATTACTTTTTCTGGCAGCCCATTCCATGTATACACTATTAACTGTGTGAAGAAGTTGCCTCTCAGGTCTTTCTTAAGTATTTCCCCTCTCACCCTAAACCTATGCCCTCTAGTTATCAATTCCCCATCCCTGGGAAAAAGACTACATGCATTCATCCTATCTATGCCCTTCATGATTTTATACACCTAAATAAGGTCACCCCTCATTCTCCTACGTTCCAAGGAATAAAATCTTATCCTGGCCAACCTCTCCCTATAACTCAGTCCTAGTCATCTTGGCAACATCCTCGTAGATCTTCTTTGCACACTTTCCAGTTTAACTATGTCTTTCCTATAATAGGTTGACCAAAACTGTACACAATACTCCAAGTGCGGCCTCACCAATGGCTTGTACAACTGTAACATAACGTCCCAACTCCTATACTCAATGTCTCGACTGATGAAGGCCAGCATAATAAATCCCTTCTTCACAACCCTGTGAAACTTGTACTCCGAGATCTCCCTGTTCTACAACACTCCTCAGGACCTTAACATTTACTGTAGAAATCCTACCTTTGTTTGACTTTCCAAAGTGCAACTCCTCATACTTATCTGTATTGAACTGAATTTGCCAATCCTCAGCCCACTTCCCCATCTGATTAAGATCTCTCTGTAATTTTTGATAACCTTCCTCGCTATCAATAATACCTCCTAATCTTGTATCATGCACAAACGTACTAATCGCTCCATGTTTAACATCCCCACAAAGGTGAACCGAACTGGCGGACTTCACAATCGGTAGACTGGTGCTGCCCCTTCCACAAACTGGACTGGTTTGCTTTCCAGCCTTCTGACTTCTGCCTCTACTTTTGGTGTAAGGCAAATGGCACTGGACAGGCCTTGCAGAATTGTGGATTTGCTTCCTGGTCAACAGGCAAGGTGGCCTTGGGTCCTTTGGTAGTCCCTCGACCTTCCTGGAAATCTTCTGGTTATTTAATGAGGACTTCATTCAGGCAGCCATTTTCTAATCGAAAAATGTTGAGCCAAAGTAGGTGAATCTTTCTCAACCAATTTCACCCCATCAAGCTTGGGCACGAGCCTTTTACTACAATCAGTGGTAACTGAACCAGCTGCTTCTCATAAGAGACTGGAACCGAAGTTGTACCCTTAATCTATTGACGTTCCCTGATATAGGTTCTCAGTCTACTCAAAGTCTTACACAAACCTAAGGATTGGAGTCCACAACTAATTTTGTTAAAGACTCGTTCTGTAATCACTGATGCAGCTGCGCTGGTATTGACCTCCATTAGAACCTGTGGACCATTTAACCAGATGTTTATTTGATTGCTTAGCATCATCCAAATCATAACCGATTTACTTGTTCTAAACCAGATGCAGGTGGACTTTCCAGAGATTGCACTGTCCTGTAGACAGGCCTAAGAGTTCTCTTACTCAATTTAGGCCTAGTGGGACTCTTATGCTGTCTCCAGTCCACATACTGACAGCAACTATAATGGCTTGCTGGCCCAGATCTTGAAGAAAATTTTAACCATTTGGGTGAGGTTTGGCTTTGTTTTGGGGTTTTGCTGTGGGCTGACCTAGAGTCCCTCTGTTCAGGGTATGTCTTGAGTGAGGCTATCTCAGTTGGACTGGTGAGGGTATCTACTACCAATGGAATACCCTGCAACTCATATACTCCACTTGCCACATTTTACAATATTAAAGCCAGTTGTAGTGCCTGTTTGAAGTCTAATTGGGCTTCAGCTAGTAGGTGCTTTTGCATGGTTACATCATTAATCCCACATACCAAATGGTCTCTCAGCATCTCAATAAGGATTAAATCACAATTACATGCCAGTTACCTGAACCTAGTCAAAAATCCCAATACGGATTTCCCTGGTTCTCAAATTGCTGAGTAAAAAAGTAGTGTCTCAGAATTAGAGGAAGCTTGGGGTTGTGACATTCTTTAACTAAATCCATCAACTCTTGAAAGGTTTTAGTATCTGGTGCCTCAGGGAAAGTTAGGCTCCTAAAAACCGAAAAAGCTGTGGGTCCATAAGCTGTCAGAAGAATTGCCCATTGCTTTTTTTCTGCCCAGAAAAAGCAATGCATTCTTTCCACATACAGAGGTCAGTCTTCAACGGCAGAATTGAACAAGCTAAACTTCCCAAGTAACGGCATTATGCCATAAATACTTACCCTAATTCAAAGATGATTGTTGTGAGTGAATTTATTCAGGAGCATGCTTTTCTCTTGACGCCACTAAAATAACTCCACAGAGACCAATATCCCATCACCAAGTCACTCGTTACTTACACGTGGCGAGTCCTTGACACTGATCCAGCTCCCTCAGAACCAGCTCTGAGTGAACAGAACCTTTGACATTCCTGTTTAAATCTGGCAGATTAACAGCCTCAATCATGGAACTCATAATCTATGATATCCACCTGGCTGACCTTATTACAATCACTACAGATTACTGTTTGTTCATTGCAGAGTGACATACAAATTCACAACCAGGACCTATGAGGTCAAGGTGATATATCCTTGCATCGCATCAGTTTTCTGCACCTTGTGATATCAAGATAGCACTCCTTCACAGGCTCGCAGTGCATGCTAGACTGTTTGTATGGGTGTTCTTCATGAGAAACTGATCTGCACCAACGCAACAGGTGATACAGCACACGTCAGCAAGATGGCACTAGGCCTCTGTAATGCTGCCTCCACCCAGACAGTGTTAAAAATAAACTTCTCAGAAGCAAATGGCTTTACAATGTATTGAAGTAAGCAGTTTTGAATTCTCTCAGTGTATTAGAACCAATATAAGAAAGGAAGTGAAGCAAATAACAAAAGTGGGAATTAGAGAAAAATGGACAATTATAACGACAATAAAATTAAACATCATGAATGCAGGAACAGTATAAAACAAAGTACAACCCTGAGGAAAATGTAAGGTCAGATGACCTAAAGTTTGGTCAGAGAGGTCGATTTTAAGGAATATCTTAAGGGAGAATTGCAAGTTAGGGAGGTGGAGAAATGTAGAGACGGAATTCCAGAGCCTGGGCAATAGATGTCATTACCATCAATGGTGGTTCAACTAAAATTAGGGTTGCAATAAAGGCCAGAAATAAATAGTAGCACAGATAACTCAGAGGGTTGTGGGACTAGAGGCGATTACAAATATAAGGAAGGTTGAGGCCTTAGAGAGAAAAGAAGGGTAAGAATTTTAAAATCAAGACGTCATTTGAATGGGAGCTAATGGGAGCGATGCAGGTCAGTGAGCACAAGCCTGATAGGGCAGTGGAAATTTCTGCTTTTTAAGATTAAGGCAAAATTGATTACGTCTGGCAAACATTGGCTATGTGCAGTTAGAATACTGCACATGATTTTTTTGATATTATACAAAAGATTTGGATACCATGGGAACCATTTAGCAAAGATTCACTGGAATGATAACAAGGATTATTTTCACTGGAGGACAGAAAGTCAAGATGAAATTTAATTTTCAAAAAATGATGTAGAATTTGATGGAGTCATAGAGTCACAGTGATGCACAGCACAGAAACAGACCTTCGGTCCAACTCGTCTGTGCCGACTAGACATTCGAAGTGAATCTAGTTTCATTTGTCAGCATTTGGCACATATCCCTCTAAACCCTTCCTATTCATATACTCATCCAGATACCTTTTAAATGTTGTAATCGTGCCAGCCTCCACCACCTCTTCTGGCAGCTGATTCCATATATACACCACCCTCTGCGTGAAAAAGTTGCCCCTTAGGTACCTTTTAAATCTTTCCCCTCTCAAATTAAATCTATGCTCTCTAGTTTTGGACTTCCCTGCCCTGGAGAAAAGACCTCGATTATTCACCCTATCCATGACCCTCATCATTTTAAGTGTATAAGTCCTGCCCTGACTTGCCCTACCAAAATGCAGCATCTCTCATTGATCTAATCTGCAAATCCATCTGCAAATCCTCGGCCCATTTGCCACTCTGATCGAGGTCCCATTGTACTCTGAGGTAGCCTTCTTCACTGTCCATTACACCACTAATTTTGGTATCAGCTACATACTTCCTAACCCTCCCTCCTATATTCACATCCAAATCATTTATATAAATGACAAGTGAAAAGGGAAAGATATTTTCTATGACTAGAGAATTGGTGAAGTGGAATTAACAATTTAACATCAATCTTAGAGGAGACTCAAGAGTGAACCAGGAGCAAGTTAATTGTAAAAGTTTGTTGTGGCATAGATTTTTTTTTCTCACAAGAATGCTGATGTCTTCTTGTAAGGGAAAATTGGATGAATACTTGAAACTAAAAAAACTGCAAGTCTGTGAGGCAAGTGCATGTAGGTTTTACACACTTGACCAAAACGTCAACATTAACACGATGGCCAAAATCATCATTTCCTATCTGTAAAGTTCTAAATTTAATATGCTTTATAGGTCTAGTGAGAACGTAAAGCCTAACAGTATTTGTTCTTTTGTCAAGTATATTAGACTTACCTATATGTTCACCACATGTATCACAATATTCAGCATAAAGAGACTCAAAGCAGTTACAACAATAGGGTCGACCTTCTTTCATAATGTATCTTTGGCCTCCTAGAACAGTTTCACATTCAAAGCAGCAGAAATGCTTCATATGCCAGTGCCTACTTTCAGCTTCTGTGCACTCATCTGCAAAGATGATCTGTGAGAAGAAAAATATGCAGAGAATGATGAGTACCAGCTCCAAAACCTGGACTGGATCAACAGTTGGAGATAAGAACAAAATTTGTTAAGCTTTAATTTTATGTAATTGACATTCACATAGGACCGAAAATTGGAATATACAAGAACAGTCATATTGGTCAAGAAACGTCAACAGTGTTTCTGTGTCTCCAGAAGCTGACAGACCTGGTGAGTTTCTCCGGCACTTTCAAATGGTATTTTGGCTTTCATAGTAAGGGAATTGAACTATAGGAGTAAAGATGTTTTGCTGCAGTTACGTACAACCTTGGTGAGACCTCATCTAAATTATTTTTATCTAAGGAAGAATATATTTGCCACAGGGAGAGTGCAACAGATGTTCACCTGGTTAATCCCTAGGATCAGTTTTTGACGACAGATTGAAAACTGAGGTGAGGAGGAATGTCTTCACTTGACATTCTCAAGAAGAGTCATGTCAGACGTGAAATGTTAACTCTGTTTCTTTCTCCACAGATGTTGCCAGACCTGCTGAATTTCTACAACATTTTATCATTTTACTTCAGATTTCCAGTAGTATTACGCTTTTTATTTAGGTTGTACAACAGCCTGATTTCTGATGCAGTTGCAGAGATTTTTTTGCTAAAGTAGGCAAACAGATGAAGAACGTTCTCACTGTCAAGGTCAGATCTGTTAAGGTAATGTTACCCCCCGACCTTCTATTAAAGGAGTGTATGAAACATGTAAATCTTTTACCATTAGTTCCCTCTCACAATGTCTTAGAGTAATTTCACACCTTACTACAAATGTTTAGTTTGCAGCAAAGTGCCTTTTATATTTTCACCTTATGCCTGAAAATATTTCTGCACTCTCACATTTACATGCATTCAGCCAAAAATCAGCTTCCAAGCAACTGGGGGTGAATCCTTACGTATATTTCAACATGACACCTGTTATTGCTGCAGCTAATGTTAACCAGTAAAATTCTAACTTCTTTAACTCTATTTGTAGTTGAAGATAGTTCATCATACCTGGCAGGGAACACTTGCCTCTGCGTAAAATACAATTTTGATGAGAGGACAGAACAAAGGGAGTGGATTGGGGGCCTATCAAACACACTGTCCACTTTTTTTTCCTGTTGATTTTTCACCATTCTTGTGCCCATACCAAAACTGATGTTCATTTCCAACTTTAAGATATTTACCCAGGAAGAGGAAGGAACTGTCCTAATGTTGGGTACTCTCAGGATGAAAGAAATGGGGAAACGAGTTTGAATCCAGCTTTAGGTTTGAGGTCAATTTTCCTAAGACCCTTGAACGGCAGGCTGTTGTGCAACATAATAAAAACCGAAAGAACTGCAGATGCTGTAAATCAGGAACAAAAACAAAGTTGCTGGAAAAGCTCAGCAGGTCTGGCATCTGTGAAGAAAAAGATCAGAGTTAACATTTCGGGTCTGGTGACCCTTCCTCAGAAGATCTTCTGTTTTTACTTCACAGATGCTGCCAGACCTGCTGAGCTTTTCCAGAAATTTTGCTTTTGCTCTTGTGCAACCTCCTCCTTTGTCCTTATCACTTCAATAACTATTTTGTATCTGTTCAAAGAATGTGGGTCACGCTGACCACTATTTATTTCCCTTCTTGAGCTAACCCTGAGAGGTGAGTAGGCTTCTTGAACTGTTTTGTACATGCATGGGTTGGGATGCATAGATCCAACAGATACCCAGGATTTTGACAGAGCGACAGAGGTGGAAAGGCAATATGTTAATGTCATGGTGATGTTTGGAAGGGAACTTGCAGGCGATGGCACTTCCACACATTAGCTTTCTTTGTCTAAGTTTGTGGCAGAGATCACAGATTTGGAAAATGCTGTCAAACGAGCTTTGGTGATAGCAGAGTGCACTGCAGCAACTTATCAAGGCTCCTTAGTACACATGTTGGCACAACGGATCAGTGGTGGAGGGAGTGAATATTGAAGGTGATGAATGAGCTACCAATCAAGTGGGCTGCTTCATCCTGGATGCTGTCAAACTTCTTGAATATTGTTGGAGCTGTACCATTCAGGCACGTAAGAGAATTTGTATCTTGTAGAAGATGGTTGACAGACTTCAGACAGTTAAAGGTGAGTTATTTGCCATAGAATTGCTAGCATTTGATTAGCTCTTATAGCCACATTTATTTTATAGCCATATTTATTTTACTGCTCCAGTTCAGTTTTTGGTCAATGGTAATATCTAGGATGTAACCAAAGTGAGGGATTCAGTGATGGCAATGCTATTAAATGTCAAGGAAAGATAATTGGATTCTCACTTCTGTGATGCAAATGTTACTTACCACTTCTCAGCCCAAGTCTGATTGCTGTCAGGTGCTGCTGAATACGGACATGACTCCTTCAATAATTGAGGAGTCGTGAATGATGCTAAATATTGTGCAAACATCAGTGAACATCCCATTTCTGACCTTATGATAGTGGGAAGTTTATTGATGAGCAGCTGAAGATGGTTGAGGCTTGGTTAGCAGGCTGAGAAACTCCTGCAGTGATATCTCGCGGCTAGGATGATTGACCAATACCAACAATTATCTTCCTTTGAATTTGGTATGAGTTTAACCAATGCATAACTCCCTCACCCCCAACCCAATTTCTATTAACTTCAGCTTTTCTGAGGGTCTCTGATATAATACTAGGTCAACTGCTACCTTTAGGTCACTCTCACCTTACCTCCAGAGTTCAGCTCTTTTGTCCATTTCTGGTTTAAGACTGTAATGAAGTTAGAAGCTGATTGTCTTTGGCAGATCCCAAACTGTGTTAATGAGTAAGTTATTGCAAAACAAATGCCACATGATTGCAGCTACACAAAGGTCCCCCTGGTTTTTATTTGTTGTATGCCATTTGTTACACAACATGGTATGTTTCAGATTGTTGCTCAACTCAGCTCACCCATTAAACTAAGTGGGATTACAATTGAACACTCTAAAATTTCTTTTCTAAACTCTCTATCTGGCTGCCTCCTATTTCTCATTTAATACCCCTCTTAAAATCTACCTCTACTGGCCATTCTTTTTGAACACCATTCCTAACATCTCTTTGTCTCAGCATCCAATTTTTGATGGCACTTCTGTGAATCACTTTGGCATATTTTTGAGGTCATAACAAAAGTTAAATGCAAGTAGTCACTGAAGATGTCCATAACCTTGAACTGAATGCAACACTGAAATTTTAGAGAATGCTGCCCTGCAGTTATGAATTATGACTTGAATCTGTTTTATTTATGCAAAACATGTTTATAGCTAACTCTGACTGCCTAAATCCTTTGAGGAAAGTAAACAGTTCAGTTGAACAAGTGTTGAAAGTTTAATTCTATATAACATGCAGAAGCTTACAAGTTGAGAAAAGCATTATATTCTTTATTGTAACTGTTAATTACATTAAATGCTAAATATGTCATTTTCATAGTCTTCATGCTGTCATATTTTAGCCTAAAGTGGACTACTTTAATCTAACATTCACTTTTATTGAAATCTAAAGATTAGACCTGTTTTTGTGAACTTACTTCATCGCATGCTGCACATCTAGGTTTCAAACATTCAGCGTGGTGTCTCCCACAGTATATCTTCCCATTTTGGTAAAAATAAATCAGATCCACCAATAGTTCATTGCATGTGGCGCAGACAAAGCATCGAGGATGCCAGCAAACTCCATGGCCTGCTCGTGAAGCAAATACAGCGATGTCTCCACCATTGATTTGTCCTCCACACTGGTTTAAAATTAAAATAAAATTGTAGTATATTCAACATTAAGAGAAGTAGGTAATACATCTCAGATAATAAACAATTAAAAAAAATACTGGTACCTCAGTGGCCAGCCTTATGAAGTGCTACTCATTTTAACTGAAAAATACAATTTAGTTAGATGCATCTTTCTTTTGAAAGTTAACAGCTTTAAGTGTTTAAATATATTTAAGTATAATTTGAATAATTATTTTTAATAATAAACCTTGTGTTTTTGTACTGACAGTCTTGCTTATGGTCATTTTGTAAATACACTGCTAACCAAATTATTTTTATGATCTCCTTGCAAACACCAACACTCTGATGATGATTGCCTGCTCTGCATGCGCACAATATTGAGACGATATTTAAAAACATAGAAGAAAAATTCTACTTTGTTTAACATTATTTTTCTCGCACAAATACTCTTTCATTAAAATTATACCATTATTTGGTATTTGTCACTCTTTGTTAAACTATATTCTTTAGAGATATCGCTGCTCGTATGCATGCTCTTTGGTGTCAGCAAGTGCAGCCTTACTTTTATGCCAGAGAAATAGAGAAGACAGTCAGCAGAGCTCATTATCTCCATAATATTTTTAGAATCCCAGACAATTCATAGCAATTTCTTTGGAAATATCCTCACTGAGCCCATCACACAAGCATATTTTCAAGGTTTAATTTCATCCTTTATCTTGTTACTGTCTCCATGCTTGCTCATTAATCTTCTAAGCTAAATCTGAAATAAATACTGTATAATAAAACATCAATTTCCAGACATTGCTCCAAGACACATGAACAATAACTGACAACCGAGCTACCTCTAGCCCAAAGACACCTACAGGGAGCTGAGCAAATGTATTATAATTTTGTCACAGGCTTCCTGTATTGTTGGGATCAATGTCTGTAATACCATTATATGGCTAATAGATCTCAAAAGGGTTGAAAGATCATAGGAGGGCAGACAGATCTTTCTTCTTTTCATGTATGTGGCAATTACGTACTGTCCATAGGTAAGGTTTCCCCAATTATTAAAAGAAATTGAATCTCTACATATAAATAAAATTACCCATCATCCCACAAGGGTGATGGTCTATAAGGTAGGCAATTTGATCATGACTAATGTCATATGTAAACCCCTCTCTTAGGTTAAAAAATTATAGCAAAAACCATGAAATATTCACAAGAATTAAGTAGATTGGAAGAAGAAAACTTCTTTCAAATGATTTAGGTAATTTGATGAAGTCTGCCTTTTAGATCAGCATGGAGTATTACAATTTTGCTACTCTTATTCTTAGTTGTTGGGCCAAGATGGTAATAATTCGTCTGTGGACATTCACAAGAGGAACCCACCTATGTTGGTGCATTCAACAGAATGATAATTACAAAGAATACCAAAAAAAAGAGATAATAATATTTAGCTCTTGAAGCCACATGTCTCTTGTATAATATGTACAAGATGATCTATCATGAAATCCACTCGACCTACTTAGCAATGAGGAAAAATTCTGTAAATTTATTTTGCTATTTAGATAAACATAGCAACTAGGTTTCAACATGAACTTGACTGTGAATTCCAGGAATTCTAGCTTTGAACCTTTAAAGCCGGTTTTATTACTAATTTGAAATCCCAGTACATCACGGCGACAGGTCTTGGTCGGGCATTGTAGTTCTTTTTAAAGTCCTTAAATGGCCCTTAATTCAACACTTTAGGGCCTCAAAAGACCTCATGATGGGTGACCCTGTGCCCTTACCCCATTTTATGGTGACTGGCTTAGGGGTGCGTGGGAAAACTGTGAGCTACTACCCAGAAATTAGCACATTAGTGAGAGGAGATCTAAGATCTGAGGACCAAAATGTATAATCAGTTTGGTTGGAGTCATTTAACCGCAATAGTGGGAGTTGTTTACTGGCCACTAAGTAATAGTGGGAATATTGGGCATGGAATAAATCATGAAAATAGATATTAATTTACATATAGACTGGATAATTCAAATCAGTACTGGAGCAGTACATTCAAGAACCAATTAGGAATTGGACTATTTTAGATATACTTTTATTTCATAAAGAAGAGCTAATTCTATGATTCTGATTCATAACATTGTTGTAAAGGAATCTTTTGGAATCAGTGATCATAGTAAAATAGAAATTCTCATTCAATGTGAATATAATTAAGCTAATTCTGAAACATTTTAAATCTGAACAGGTAAAACTATGAAGACATGAGGGGAAAGCTGGCTACAGTGGATTGGGAAAATACTTTAAAATATTTGACAGTTGACAGGTAATGGCTGGTACAGAAGGAAGTGCCTCACTATCTGCAACAGATATACATTCTTCTAAGACACAAACACCCAAAGAGAAAAGTAAATCAAACGTGGTTAACAAAAGAAGCTAAAGTTTGCATTAGATCAAAGGGAATGGCTCATAAGCATGCCAGAAAAAGTGATAAACTAAGGACTGGCAGCAATTTAAAACACAGCAAAAGCAGACCAAGAAATTGATAAAAAAAGGAAGAAGAGAATAAGAGTACACACTAGCAAGAAACATGATGTTAAGAATATAAAGTATTAGGAAGACAGCAGAGAAACTAAACAAATGCTTTTGCCTGCATTCATGGAGGAAAGTCCAAAATTTAGAGACTGTGAAAGTGAGGATCTAAAAGAATTTAGTATCAGTAAAGTGATGGGACTTGCAAAGTCAACTGGATAGAAGTTGATAAATGCCCTGGACCAGAACAGCAGCATCCTAGAGTGCGAGAGTGGTGAAGGAGGTGGCTGAGAGACAGTGGATTCATTCATTGGTGTTTGTCTTCCAAAATTCTACACATTCTGAAACAGTTCATGCAGCTTGGAAACTAACAAATGTTACCCTGGTATTTAATGAAGTGGCAAAAGGAGATTGGAGAACTACAGATCTGTTAGTTTGATGTCAGTAGTAGGGAATACATTAGCATTTTTTCTATAAAGCATGTGATAACTGAACACTTAAAAAATGATGATAAAATTGGGCAGAGTCAATACAGATTTATGAAATGGAGATCACGTTTGGCAAACCAATTGTGGAGTTTTTGATTATGTTACTTATAGATAAGAAGAATGAGTGGATTTAGTCTATTTGGAATTTCAGAGGGTTTCGATAAGGTCCCACACTGGATATTAGTAAAAAAAATTAGATGGCATAGAAAAGGCAGACCAGGGAGTAACATGTTGAGAATTATTTAACAGGCGGATAGCAGAGAGTAAGAATAAATGGGTCATTGTCAGGATGCCAGATTGTTTGTAAGGGATACCACAAGAATCAGTGTTATAGCTGCGGCTATTCACAATTGACATAAATCATTTTGATATTTCCAAATTAGTCAATAAAACAAAACTAAATGGGAATGTAAGTTGTGACAAAGAAGGTTTAAACGGAAGTTGAACAGGCTAAATGAATGGGCAAGAACATGATAGATGGAATATGAGGTGAATATGTGAAGTTATGCACTTTGGTAGATAGGTCATTTTCTCTGGATGGTTGGTCTAAAATCAAGGGACATAATCCATTTAAGACAGAGGTGAGAAGGAAGTACATAACTCAGATATTGGTGTATCTTCAGCATTCTCCGGCTCAGAGGGCTGTGGAAGCTCAATCACTGAACAAGTTCAAGACACATTTCTGGAGACTAATGACATTAAGGGATATGGAGGCAGTGAGGAAAATGGTGTTGAGATAGAAGATCAGCCATGATCTAACTGAATGGCTGAGGAAGCTTGACAGGTTGAATAGGCTGTTCTGTTCTTACATTCCTATATTCCAGCACATTTTATTTTCTCCCTGCCAAAAGCCTGCCTGATGTAGATTTGAAAATCCAACATTAAAAAAAAACTTTAAGTAAGCTAGAGAGAAAGGGGGTCCAAAAAGCTGGGTAAATTTGCAATAAGTCTTTATTTCAAACATCTTTGCTTCTCAAGAAACCAGCAAAAGCCAAGAAACTGAAATGTGTTTGTAATACTTATGAAAATTTTCTTTTAGATGCTAACCGTTACTTAGATATCAAGAGCAAATTAATTTTTCCATTTTTTCTCGCTGTGTAGCAACCATCAAGACACAGTTTGCTTATCATTTCAGCTGCTTTTCTTTCACAAAATGGGTTCCAACGTAATGTACTCCTCATGTGATATCTCATATACTACTAAAATTACAACGTTTTGTGCAGTACAGTACTTCTCAAAGTCCAGTGGCATACATTGTCAATTCACCATGCTGCTGACTTTCCCACCTTTGTTGCAAGGAAGTACTACTGAGACAGAAGGCATGGAAATGGTTGCTGATTGATTTTCAGTGTTAGTGCAGATGCACCCTAGTTAACAGTCAATAGTTTTAAGGTTGACAAGAAGAAAGGACCAAAATGTTACAATGTTGCCAAAAGTTATTAAAAGGTTAAAAGTTGTCATTTTTTCTGGCATATACATGAACCACATAGCACAGAATCAGTTCCTCTGGTAATGGGTCCACAATGACCTTTATGTTCCACGTAAGTCTCCTGTCATCATACTTTTCAAAAACAGCAATATTATAAACTTTATCGACTACTATTTGAATTTTAGAGTTTTCTAAGCAAGAGTTTTATAAAATGTCAGTGTTTACCTGCTCACAAATTGCACCAGTCATGGTTATAGGAAAAGGTCTAATAGTGCCTCTTCCCAAACTTTCTCTTTTTCTTTGAGTACTGAAAAGACGCAGTTCTTTCTTTTCTTCTTCATCAAGTGAATTGCAGTAACGCACCTGGCAATGGATCATATGACAATCATAGGACATTATGCCCATTTGTAAAATTTTTTTTTAACTCAGTCTAGCCTGCAATGGATCTCACAGCAACTTGGTCAGTGACAATGGAGAAATTCCCAGCCCAGTCTATGTTGACCTAATTGAATGGCAAGTTGTTTTATTTAGACTTTTGTAAAAAATTATGTCTCAAGGTAAAAACAAAATGAACAATATTCATCACCTTTTACAAAACCCCTCAAAACACTTTGCTAGAGTGAGGTTGGTGACTTGCTCAATGAGCTGGTTTGTTTTCATTCAGATGTTTTGTCACCATGCTAGCTAACATCATCAGTGAGGCCTCCGATGAAGCGATGTTGGAACTTATACTGTCTGCTCTGTTTATAGAATCATAGAATCCCTACAGTGTGGAAACAGGCCCTTCAGCCCAACAAGTCCACACCGAACCTCAGAGCATCCCACCCAGACCCATCCCCCTATAATCCACCTAATCTACACTGTTAATGGTCAGTAGTGTCATTTCTGGTTTTGTTCTGTATGGGTTTTATATGGTGTCCATTTCTATATGTTTGTTGATTGCATTATGGGTTGAGAACCATGCCTCTAAGAATTCCCATGCGTATCTATGTTTGGCTTGGGTTACTATGGTTACGTTGTCCCAGTTAAACTGATGGTCTTCATTGTCTGAGTGTACTGATATTAAAGAAAGTTTGTCCTGTCATTTTGCTGCTAGCAGATGTTTGTGTATTCTGATGACTAGTTTACTTTCTGTCTGTCCGATGTAATGTTTGTGGCAGTCGTTGCATGGTATTTTGTAAACTACATTGGTTTTGCATGTATAAGATATAGCACAGTGTGAAGCTGGAGGAGCACAGAGGGCCAGGCAGCATCAGAGGAGCAGGAAAGTTGATGTTTCGGGTCGGGACCCTTCTTCAGAAATGGGAGAGAGGGAAGGGAACTCTGAAATAAATAAAGAGAGGACTGGTGGGCCAGGGAAGGTAGGTGGAATGGTGATAGGTGAGTGCAGGTAGGCAGTGATGAGGATTGGTCAGTGAGGTGGGAGGAGCGGATAGGTGGGAGAGAAGATAGACAGGTTGTGTCAGGTCAAGGAGGCGGAGATGAGAGGGAGGGTTGGTCATTGGATGAGGCCGGGGAGTGGGGAGATTTTGAAACTGATAAAGTCCACATCGAGTCCACTGGTTGTACGCTCCCAAGGCGGAATATGAGGTGCTGTTCCTCCAGTTTCAGGGTGGCATCATTGTAACACTGGAGGAGGCCCAGGATGGACATGTTGCCCAGGGAATGGGAGGGGGAGTTGAAATGGTTCACGACTGGAAGGTGTTGTCATTTGTCGCGAACAGAGTGTAGGTGCTCTACAAAGTGGTCTCTAAGCCTCCGCTTGGTCTCACCAATGTAGTGGAGGCCACATCGGGAGATGCAGTCGACCACGTTGGCGGATGTGCAGGTGAACCTCTGTCCGATGTGGAAGGTGTTTTTGGTTTCTTGGCTGGAGGTGAGGGAGGAGGTATAGGGGCAGGTGTAGCACTTCCTGTGGTTGCAGGGAAAGGTGCCGAGGTGGTGAGGCTAGTGGGGAGTATGGAGTGGACGAGGGAGTCGTGGAGAGAGTGGTCCCTACGGAAGATAGATAGGGTGGAGAGGGAAATATATCCTTGGTTGTGGGGTCAGATTGCAGGTGGCGGAAGTGGCGGAGAATGATGCGTTGAATCCGGAGGTTGGTGGGGTGATATGTGAGGACAAGGGGGATTCTGTCTTTGTTTTTGTTGCTGGGAGGGGGTGTGAGGGCAGAGGTGCGGGAAACGCAAGAGATGCGGTCGAGAGCATTTTCGACCACTGAAGGGGGGAAGTTGCGGTCCTTGAAATAAGAGGACATCTGGGATGTTCAGGAGTGGAACGCCCCATTTTGGTTCTGCATGTTGTGGGAATGGGGTCTTTAAATCCTTGTGAGTGTTTGTTGTAGAGTGACGGTGGGCTTGTGTTATGGACCGGGCAGTAGAAATTCCAAGCAGAGTAGAACAACATGTTTCTTTGGAGGCCTCACTGATGACGTTACCTAGCATGGTGACAAAACGTTGGAATGAAGACAAGCCAGCTCGGCGAGCAAGTCAGCAACCTCACCACAACCCGAGCTACAAATCTTTGCTAAAACCTTAAACACTTTGCTAGACTTTCCTGCACTTTAGACAGTAGGGATAATTTACATATATATTCCAGTATACACCATGTGAGTTACGTTAGGTTGCAATTTTTAAAATGGGGACGGTAAGGTTACTGAATTTTATTCACTTGTGATATTTACGATATTAGTGTAAAAAGTTGAATCTGACAGAAGTCTAGACTCAGTTTATGTATTTAACTTTGGTAGGGTTATTAAGTTCTCACTATTAGTGCTTGATTCTTATTCAGAAGAAATTTAACAATGTATTATTCCATAATTGAAGAGATTTTTTCAACCAACTCTATAAGACAGTTTAAGAACCCAATATATTGTCTTTCTAATTACTTTGACAGAAAATTTTGTGACATTTGTAACTTTGGCAATATGCAACTATTTTATCTTTAATACTTCTTAAATCAGAAGCAGAGATGCCAAGTACCCAAATTTCCTGTGAGTATGTAATTCAGCAATTGGGATCTTTATGAGGCTCATTACTTTTACTAAAGTAATGCTCCAAAATTACTTTATCATTACTGAATTTAGAACATAATGAATTAGTGTTAGGAATGTGACATCATTAAATTCTGTGGCTTCCACTTTTCCACCTAATCTTAAGAATGTGCGCCATTATTTTGAAGGCGTCAGGGCCTGCTCATCAAGACAGAAATGCCTGATTGAGAGGAAACTGTTGAACTCAAATTGTTAATTGAAATTTGCAGCCATATCTTCCGATTCACTGCAAGCACTAATTGAGGGAAGATAAAGTTACAGTATTGTTCAGGATGTCTTCCCCTGCATTTGGCTTCACCTTCTGAAAACACATTTTAAACAGAATTATTGAACAAGCACTTCACGGCTGCACAACAGGCTTCCCACAGGAATCTAACACTTCATGATAAACATATTGGAGGAACAGGGGAAAGAGGAGGCAAAAAACAAGTTATATCAAAAAACAATGTTAGAGAGAAGCCAGAATATGCTGGTACTACCATCAGGCATGGATCGATAGACAAAGGTACACTTTGAGACATTCCATAGGAGCTCTGCCTCAGAAGGCTTTTCTTCAGTCATAACATTTTGGCAGAGCTCTATCCCTTGCTGTCTTCTGTGCATTACTCCATAAGGAAAATCAACATTTCTCTCTTCACCAAGGCAGCTCAGTTTATACAATGATAATTTTCTCATCAAGATGACTTGGAAGTTGGTACTTTTGTAACTGCCAACTCTGAAGGTTAGGTAGATTGTTGAATTAACTTACTAGGATAAATCTCATAATTTACTGAAGTGTAAAGTGTGCACTTGTGACAATAGCACTGCTTCCCGCACAAATAATCAGTATGCTGGAGACTCACACAACTTGCTTTGTCCATCCATTTTGTCATTTTACTTTAACAACAGGAAGGCTATGGCTAATGAGAGATACCGGTTACTGATGTAACTTAGAGTTTAGGAAGTTTGCAGCAACCAACTCACCCCCTGTCTCCCCAGTGGCTGCCCGCTATCTACAAGGCACAAGTCAGGATTGTGATGGAATACTATCCACTTGCCTGAATGGGTGCAAGTTCAGTAACATTTAAGAAGCTTGATACCATCCATGACAAAGCAATCCATTTGAATGCTATCCCATCCATTAACTTCAACATTCACTCCCTTCACCACCAATGCACACAAAGCAGCATTTTGAAAACGCACTTGACAGTGCTTTTCAAATTCCTGTTCCTGACTTCTACTGTCTAGAAGGACAAGGACAGCATATGCTGGAACACCACCACCTGTAAATTCCCTCCAAATCACACACTTCCTGATTTACAATTATATTACCATTCTTCCATTATCACTGGAATAAAATTAGGGTACTCTATACCCCAACAGTTGCAGTGGTTCAAGGCAGTAGCTCGTTACCAAATTCTCCAGGGCACTTGGGGATTAACAATACATGTTTGCTCAAGCAATATCACCCACATTGCATAAATCAATAATAAAACTACATGATTCCTCTTTGTAGATTTATCTGTACTCTAAAGTGGTACCATTAGGAAATGCAAACAAAGGCAAAGACAGGTGAGAAAGCCACTGGGATGCTGAATGTAGAATTCTACTATCTAAATAGGTTGGGAAATGGAGGAGAATAGAGGAAAGCATAGAAAACAGCAAGTGCTAGAACTCTGTCACAGCTTCAGAACTGAAGCAATCCTCCTGAGACAGCAACGGCACTCAGCAATCTCACAGTAGTGGTGGTATGATGTATGCTTCATAACTAACAGTAGACATCCCTAGAGTTTCAACATAAGAACACAATGCAGTTAAGATGCTGCATGCAGAGTTCAATAGTTCAAAGGTACATTGCATGTTTTTCATAATGTTATCTCACAATGTATTGGATAGCATGCATAAAACTGACTCTATATACATATGACAATTACCTCATTGTCATGTGGTGGTAGTTGATGTAGCAGCTGTTTGATTCTATATTTTTCTCCAGGGCTGTTAACATATGGAACCTTATCTTCTGGGAGACAGTTGTAGTATTGGTGAACCTGCACAGTGCAATGTGGTTAGTTAGGTGAAATGTGGATCTTCACTTCTATACTAGTATCAAAATAAAAATAAAGTTATTATCATGTTTTTAGATGTCATTTAATTTTAACAATAATCAGAAAGACGGTTGGAAATAAATAAATCAGACAATAAATAAACCAGAAAGTAATTGAAAGTAACTGTAGATTCCTTTCAGTGGTATTTCAAAAGAGAACACATTGGTTTTTAAACAAAATATCAATGTGCCTTTTCTTATTTCAAAAGCCTTAATGTCTACAATGTATTTTACCATTTCTGCTTTTATTTCCAGTTTCTAGCATTTGCAATATTTAACAATCTCTTTGCAAATCCTCGTTCCCACCTTCAATTAAGGGCTCCTGATTTGTTACACAGTGTATGACTAATACTACAGTCATCCTGCTCAAAGGATAAAGTGCACATTCACATTTTTATGTAAAAATCTTCATCACAATTGTGTTTTTGGGAGCATACCATTAGTTAGAGTAGCTAATTACTTTAGTACAATATATTTCATTCGCCACAAATGTATTTTGTTACTGTTTACATGGTGAGAATGTTCTGATTTTATGGTTTATTATCAAAAATAATTCAACTTGTTAGAACATTTTCAGATTATGATCATTTCAGGGTCCCACTTCTTGATTGACACAAACTACCTTCTCCTGGTAGTGAAGTAGAAACGTACTTTAAATACCAAATACCTAGTTGAGTTTGGAAAAGAATAAAGCAAAGCCAAATTACAACATCTGAAGCACATGAAGCATTTTTCATTCCTACTAATAAAAAAGATAAAAATTCAAGACAGAATTGGACTTTGTTTGCAGAATAAGATTACATCTTCTGTAAATAGCCTCTTTAGTTTGATTTCAGTTTTATGAATATTTCTTATCCACCTGTTTATAAGGTTATTAGAACTTCTATTGATACTTCTTTTGTCTGCCGTGCAGTTGAATTTAAAAGATGTAGCTAAACAGAAATATAATTGCGAACATAAGGCATGTGCTTAACAACATGCTCTACCTGAAAAAACATGCAGTTTAATTTATTCTAGTCCACAGAGAGTTTAACTGAAAACTGTAGGCACAGTCGTAATATGTAATTGTTCTCCTACTGACACTAGCTATAATTAAATCAAGCTGTGCTATAGAAAGTAGCACTGTTTCTTCAACTGACATTTGCTATGATTAAAGATGACGCATATTACAAGTCTTCCATTTACCACTCCTTGAAAATGTTTACATAACCAATGTTAAATCTGAAGTTATACCTTAAATGATTTATTGAGATTTTCACCAATAGGTGACATTAGAATTACTGTAAAAACCTATAATTACCTTGAAAATTACCTGTATTCCTGTTTTACTTGGATGCGTTTAAGTCCACAGTTCAGCTTCTGTGTCCCTAAGGCTTTTGACTTGACATTACTGGATTATGCAGGAACTATGAGCAATATTACAGCATTGCGAAGAAAATGGGTTGCTATGTGCAGAAGCAAATGCAGTGGTAATAGAAAATTCCATAGTCATAAGAATGAGAGCATGATTTTATAGCACCAGACAAACATTCTCCCATTGGTAACTTTTAGAATAGGCACAAGTGATTCTGGAGACAGCACATTAAACAAATAAATTATACAATTCAGGTTCAAACCAATGGTGTAGGAATAACGGAATTGGTGACCTGTAAAAGAGTCATATGGCATTGTTATCTATGTCACCATTTGTTGCTATCCCTAACTGTTCCTGAGAAGATTGTGATCATTTATGAACTACTGCAGTCCACACGAAACCCACATGAATGTTTAAGGTGGTGGATGGATGCCAGTCTGGTAGGATGCTTTTCCTGGATAGTGGCAAGCTTCTTGAGTGTTGTTAGAGCTGCATTTATGCAAACAAGTATAGTTTTCTATCTCACTCCTGACTTGTACCTTGAATGTGGTAGACCGGCTTTTATGAGTCAGGAGGTAAGTTACCCACTACAGAATTCCAAACATGACTGCTTTTGTAGCCACAGTACATATATAACTGATCCAATTCAGTTTCTTGTCATTGGTAACCGCAAGGTGTTGATGGTGAGGATTTAGTAAAGGTAATGCCTTTGAATGGCAAGGAGTGATCATTGGATCCTCTCTCATTGAACTTGGTCATTACTCCACACTTGTGTGGTGCAAATATAACTCACCACTTACCAGCCCAAACCGTTGTTCAAGTTTTGCTTCAGTGTCTGAAAAGGTGGAAGGTACTGAACATGTGCAATCATTGGCATATATCCCCATTTCTGACCTTATGATGGAGGGAAGGCCATTGATAGAAAAGCTGAAGGTGATTGAACCTAGTGCACTAGTCTGAGGAACTGTTAAGGTGCTAGGAAAATTTTTCACTAATCTCTATTTTCTCCAGTTTTGCGAGGGTTTCTTGATGTCAAACTGGTCAAATGCTGCCTTGCTGTCAAGTTCCCACATCAAGTTTGGCTTGTTTGTTATTTGGACTAGTAAGCAGGTTATTGTTGAGTGAGTGCTGCTTGATAGCATGATCAATAACACATTCCATCACTTTGTGTAGATTAGATTGATGGGTGAAATTGGCTGGTTTGGATTTGCCCTGCTAAATGTGCATGGGGCATACCTGGGCAATATTCTCTATTGCTGGGTAGATGCTGGTATAGTAATTGTCCAATAACAACTTAGGTAGGGCTACAGATAGTTCTGGAGCGCAAGTCTTTGATACCATTGCTAGAATGCTGTTAGGTTCCATAAGCCTTTACAGTTTCCAGCCATTTCTTGATGTCACCTTGAGTGAATCAAATTCGTTAAAATCTGTCATCCATGATGCTGGGGATTTCTGGATGAGGCTGAGATGGATCATTCACTTGGCACTTTTAGCTGAAGATGGTTGCAAATGTACAACTTTACGTTTGCAGTAATGCGCTGGGAGTCCCATTAGAATAGAATATGCGTGATCTTCTTGGAGATCCTTTCTACTTTGAGCCGGAAGTTTGTAGTGTTGATGGTAGCCATGATGTGGAGGTGCTGGTGTTGGGCTGGGGTGGACAAAGTCAGAAGTCACATGACATCAGGTTATAGTCCAACAGGTTTATTTGAAATCGCAAGCTTTCGGAGCACTGCTCCTTTGTCAGGTGAAGTGACCTTATCTGATGAAGGAGCAGCACTCCAAAAGCTTGTGATTTCAAACAGACCTGTTGGATTATAACCTGGTGTCATGTGACATTATAATAGAATAACAATTTACTGTCATGTCTATTTTACACAAGAAGTTTTATAAGTTGCTTAAATTAATAACAGAACTCATAATAAAGAAGGAAAAAAAGTAAAAGTTAATCACAGTTCAATTAATGACTCCTGGGTTCAGGTCATGCTGGAAAACTGGTCTGAAACCGTCCCACCACACTGAGACAAGACCTCTACACTGAGACATTATTGAAAATAGGGATATTTGTAAAGCCTCCTCCTCTAGTGAGTAGTTTGATTGTCCACCACCATTCACAACTAGATGTGGCAGGATTGCACAAATCTGATCTTTCTGAAGGAGGGTCTAGGCCCGAAACGTCAGCCTTCCTGCTCCTCTGATGCTGCTTGGCCGGCTGTGTTCTTCCAGCTCTTCACCTTGTTATCACAAATCTGATCTGTTGGTTGTGGGATTGCTTAGCTCTGTCTATTATATGCTTCTTATGCTGCTTGTCAACACAAGTTCTGTGTTGTAGCTTCATCAGGTTGATACCAGATTTAAAAAAAAATATGACTGGTGCTGTTTCTGGCATGCCTTCCTCCACTCTTCATTGGACCAGTGTCAGTCCTCTGGCTTATTTGTAATAGTAGATTGGGGGTATGCCAGGACATGAAGTTGCAGTTAATCGTTGAATGCAATTCTGCTGCTGATGATGGTCTACAGCATCTGCAGTTTTCTTGTCTCTAACTAAAGGCTGCAGAGGCTTTTGCTGAGTCAAAGAGGTCAGAAATGCTCGAGGGTGGGCATCATTTTGTTTATGATAATTAAGATGATCTACTAATGTGGACTGATCTGGTGCTGTTTTACTATATATATATTGTTTTATACAGTTACAATAAGATAAATTCTATGAAACGAATTACGGGAAATCTGGTCATAATGTCTATTCTTTATGTTTACTTTATTGTGAAACAAGTAGGTAAATGACTCGTATCTGGTCTCATCAAGCAGTTGATTAGACCCTTTTTGGAAAGATTGAAGAAATAAAGCCACAAAAGTCATGAACAGAGTTCAGGTCACAAACAACTACTATTAGAAAATATTAAAACTTGCTATTGTACAATAAGATAAATGGAATCAACAAAGGCAAGATGTTCAGACGGTTAAAAGGGCCTGAATGATGCCATAGAAACTAGGAAACTAATTACGACAAATACAAATTTATAATTGGCACAGCCTGCTATGGCAGGCACAACATAACTGTATTAGCAGGTATACAGTTTACAATAGCAAGGGTGACAGTATAAGACAGAAGTGTAGACTAATAATCTAGTAAATGAGAGATCCCTAAGCATGGAACTTGAGAATTGAATTTAGTTTAAATGAATTACATGTAAAAAAGTGACCATTAAACTCCAAATGATCTGCTGACATCCTTCAGGGAAGGAACCCTCTGCCTTTACCAGCTCAGATTTGTATGTGACTTCAGCTCCACCCAAATATGGTTGATTCCTAGCTGCCCTTTGAAGTGACGCAGCAAGATACACTATTGCATTAAAGCAACTGCGATGAATAATAAATGCCAAACTAGTGACACCCACACCTACAGAATGAATAAAAGAGCATGTGTAGTTGCAGAATATTTCAGAGGGAGAATATGGGAAAAGGGAGGAGGGGTAACAATATTATCAGGATATATTAAACAGAATATACAGATGACATAAGTAGCGAACTGAAAGCTCAGTTTATTTTGTAAGAATTAAATAATAAGGGAACTGTAATTCACCTGGGAG